AAAAAAAAACAAACAAACCCAAAACACATCAGCTCCTGCCTGGTGGGGGGGGCGATCCCTGCTGCCAAGAACAAGTCAGTGATTTTGGGGGGTTTGTTTTTTTAATGGACCAGGATCTGGGAAAGTGGGCAAGGCAGCCATGAGGGAGGGGAGGACTAGGAGAACAATGTTAATAAAGACATTGGTGATAGCAGTTTTTCAGAAAAGGTCATATTCCCTAGATCAGTGTTGTTCCCTGAAAGCACTGACAAAGAGTGGGGTGGTTGGGAAAAGAAGCCTTTTTGAGGGGGAGGTTTTTACATCATGTCCACTATTAGGGCACCTGAGAAAGCAGGGTATTCATGGCCAGATTGTCAGAAGTGCTACAGAGCCATGCTAAAGTCAGATCTTTGGTTCTTCTACTGAATAAGGGCCTTGTCATACATTCATTTGCAACAGCTGCAGATCACTGGACTATAGTGACTAAAGTTAGTACTTGTTAGGAGATAGCCCTCAGCTGAGAGGGAACAATTTTGCAACCTTACAAGGAAGCTTCAAGTGGGCTAAACTGCTTAAACATGCATCTGCTTTCATTTTAACTATACTTAGGACCTGGTTAGACCTATGCTGTAAACCCAAGTCACATAGTAAGGCAAAAAACCCTGTTCTTGCTGTCCTTCACCTGCAGAGCTGTGAATTGCCACTAGAGGCTTAGTGAGCAGAACGCTCTTGCAGCTCGCAGCAGAGAGAGAGTGGGTCCACCACCATATCAGTTTCAGCACGACCAAAAAGACCTGGGGAAGCAGCTTCCCAGGAGCTCTCTGGTCTCACTGAAACTGCCACAGTAGCTCTATGTTCAGAGAGGGGCCACCAGCTTGGCCCCCAACATCCCTGCTCTGAGCCTAGAGCTGCTGTGTCAGTTTCAGTGAGATCAGAGAGCTCTAGGGCTACAGTCATGGAACTCGCTTGTTCTGAGCTCCAAGGAGCCCAATCCTTTTTTTTTTAATGGTGCTGCGTGGGAGGCACCACAGCCACCAGGCATTCCGGGGTGAGGGGAAGGATTGGGCACCTCAGAGCTTTTAGAGCATTCTGGGATACTGGAGGACTTCAGCTTGGGGAAAATAGTGGTGGGAAGTGGCCACATGGTAATAGAACAGGGACAAAATTAGGTGGATTGGAGGTAATTGTGCCCTGGAGTGGCATAATGCTAAACCGAATAATGAATGTTTTAAGCTGCTTAAAAGGTGTTAACATGCAGCCAGTCCAGGTGTTAAGAGCTTCAGAAGCTGCCTGAATTTACCATGTAATAAGCCCATTGGTAAGTCTTAAATTGAGTATATGACACCAGCCTTACCTTGCACTACTTCTGCACAAAGGAGTAGTGTGTGGTAAAGGATCAAATCACAGAGAAAGCAAATACTTCTTTCTACCTGGAACTTGCTGACTGCTTTGTGTGTTTGTTCTGGTAAGAACCATTTATTTTTTCCTGATTGTCCAGTGCATAGCACAGTGGTGTCATAGTATGCATATATTAGTAATACATAATTACTTAGTTCTGTGTTTTGTGAGAAGGATCATTTTCTCAGCTTCAAGAAAATATGTCAAATGGATTAAATAACTGTTGGAATGAATGGAACTGCTTTGGTTATTTTCCATGAGGATTCAAGGTGTTTAAAATTTGAAATTTGTTTGACATGGAAGAAAAATCATAGGAGACTTTTTAAAGCACACAAGTTAGATGCCAAGTGAAAAGAAATATGGGTGCCTGTTATGACCTGAAAATTTTGTTTTGACTATTACTTTCACAACTGAAGTTTTGAGAACTATTTTATATATCTTCTGCTTGGTTACAATGTTGGAGGCAGGTTTAGTATCATTTATCTGTACAACAGCTCATTTGCAATTTGAATGTTTCCATAGCTTGATCTACTGTATATAAACACAAATTGTCTGATATGGAAATGTTACTTATAAACGCAACCAATCTGATTTATGAGTTTTCTACACATCCATTTGCACTGCTGACTAAACATGCAATTAACAATTAACTTTAGCAACATACACTTAGGCAAATTACAAAGGTTGCATTTCAGCCAATGAAATTGCAGTTACAGTGACTGTGAACAAGCGTTCGCTTCAACCATTTAAATGTCCAATGCATCAGACAAGTTTGAATTGCTAATCAGGGTGCAAGCAGTTGAATGAATGCACACAACCCCAATCAATTGGGGATGCAGTGTGCTCTGCTTCTGTCCTCCCTCTCCAGGGACCCACTCTGTGACTGAGGCTGCACTCCACTGCTGCAGCTTGACTGACATGACAGCCCCTTCCTGTGACAGCTGAGGGGCTTGGAAAGCCCAGCCTCTCTGCACACCCTACCTTCTCCAACTGGTATTGGCAGGAGAAAGCCACCCACCAGAACCCAAGCATGGTCCACTGCTACCTCTACCATCCAGAGCCCTCTAAACTCTGCTCTGCCTGGACATGGCCTGTCCCCGCCTCCTCAAAGACCTGCAACTCTCTACTCTCATCTAGACAGAAACCAGCCATCCCTCACAGTCCCCAGAGACCCTTGTCCCCCACTGCAGAGACACAAACCAGCCTGCCCCAGACCTCCCCTCTGCCATGCAGCATCTCCTTAATCTCCCCTCCCCTTCCTGTACGTGGCCCACCACCACCCCAGAGAATCCTGACTTACATCCCAGTGCAACATGGCCTGGCTAACCTCATTCCCTCTCTCCTCCCTGCCCTCCACCCTGTCTGGATTGCATGAATATGTTCAGCAGGGGCCAAAACAGAGCCTCAGTTATAGACCATACCTGAAGGGCCAGGACACTTGGGAGGGCGGGAGGGGCTGGCCAGATGCTTGCAGTTTTTGAACAGGTGGGCAGATTCTGGCAGATTAAGTGCACCTACTCTTGCCCTCAACCTGTGGAAATCCTGCCCCTGCAGGGAGTTGATAAACTACCCCCACCTTCACACAGACACATCCCGCCTCTACAGTCCCCAGAGACTGTGTGAGGGGCAGGGGCAAGTTCTCAGGTCATGGTAGGGTCGGATTGCCACAGTTTTTGGACAGAAGGAAGTGGGGCCTGGCAGATTGAACCCACCACTTCCCACCTGCAAACTGTGGGTATTACATCCTCACCAGGACCTGGCACCTCACTCCCATTCCCCCTGCCCCCTTATATGGATATGGACACAGCCCAGCACCACTGTTTCCGGAGAGCCCTGTCAAGACTGCCCAGCTCACCCCACCACCTTCCCAGCCCCACTCCAGTCCTCCACCCCCTCCTGTTTCCTCCACGAACTCTAAGTGGATCACTGGGCTGTGGTAGAGAGCAGGGGAAGAATCTCAGATCCCCATGGGACCAGATCCCTGCAGTTGTTGGGCAGGGAGGGGGTGCAGTCTAACATCAATCCTGCCCCCTCTACAGCGGAAATCTCTTCCTCAGTCCATCCTTCTCACTTTTAAAGAGAATGGAACAAGATTTTTTTTTTAATTATTATCTTACTTGTGACATCGCATATAATGTGTTTTTCTGCTTTATTTAGTTTTCATTATACTATAATAATATTTTCTTTAATATTTTTATTGTGATGAACATGAGATAAAGTAGAGTAAACTTAGAGGCCTTTTGCTTTGGTCATTTTGTTATTTTTGGGCACTACAGGCCAAACCTGGGGAGAAGTTATCTGAAAACAAAAGATGCAAAACCTAGGTCTCAAGCGGCAATGTTCCACTCAGGAAATTGGTAAGAACAATAGAATAGGTTGCTGTGTGTAATATTTATAGCTCCCTGTTCTTAAGATCAGTCAGGAACTTCTGTCTTAGGGATGTACTAAGTTTTACCTAGTTATAGTATTACCTGAAGGGCTCCTGGGAAAGCTGAAGGTGGCTGGAGTGCAGCAGCACTGCAGTGGCCTCCTTCCTTTGTTGTCTGCTGATTTCCCAGCTGGTTGATTAAGCTAACCGTCTGCCATGTTTGCATTGCTGGAATTATGCAAAAGTAGAACAGCTGTTAGAACCGAACTATAATAATAATAATGACAGGTATCTTTACAGCCACTTTCATTGTATCCTGTTAATCAGATGTATGCAAGTATTCTAATATCAACATTTCAAGACATTGCATAATTGAAATATGCAGCAAAATGCGTAATTGAATCTTGTAAATATGAAACTATTAAAATGAAAGTTATAGCAGCAGTATTATTAAGCTAATATATATCTTCAAAACAGAAATTGCTTAGTTTTACATAGAATTTACTATGTAAAAAATTAATTTGAGGTATCATATTTAACATATAACCTTTTAATTTATTGGCAAATAGATACAAGGTAATTAAAAAAATTGCTGATTGGTATAAGACGAGTCATTGCAAAACTGTAAACAACCAGAACAGTGCAAGCTGAAGCCTTAATAGAATAAGAGACACCATTTAATACACATAGGGAGGTAACTGGGGCAACATAAAAGCTAATATTAATTGCAGAGCCAGTTTTAAAAGGCTTTTAAGGAAGAGTCAGCATCAGCACTAATCAGGTAAAATTATGGTAATACTGCAGTTTATGGATATGACTATCTGTTTTCACTCTGAACAAATCTGTGATATTGATCTACTATTTTGCAGTGGTGCTAGACATAAAGTGTAGGTAGTATGGTGAAGATTGGACTAGTAAATAAAACTTTTATTGCATTCAAATATTTTTTAAAATCCCAAATTAAATATAGTGAACATAAAGAATCTAAATATAAACACTGTCACATAAGTAATTGGTTTTCTGTCTTAAAAATATAAATAAAGATTAAGCCTAATATTCCGCCAGCACAAATACTATCTACCATCACATTCTTTTTCTATTTTTGTATTCACACATTTATTACTAGCAGGGAAAAATAGTACACACTTGAAAGTTTGAATAAAGATCCACATTGATCCCAAAATGCCACATACTACAGGACGAATTCTGCAAGCTTTCCACGTTTATTTTCCTTGGTGCAGTTTTACGTAAAAACGTCTTTCTGAATTGGATGTTGTAGTTCAAGGCCATTATTTAAATAACAAAAAAAAAAAGAAAAAGAAAAAAATGTCTGGACCGGGAGTGATTGACCACATATAGTAACCCTGCCACAGTTCAAGGAATTAAAGGTGTGACAAAATGAGAAACCAGATGCAAAAATATTCCACACAAGATAATTAACATTTTTGTAGCTGGTTTCTGTCGCACCTTAAAAAGAATGTGGGGCAGGGGAACCAGAACTGGCCCAAGACTCCAAGGTGATTCTGGCACCAGAGTCTTAAGCTGGCTCCAGTGCACTCAAAGGGCTGGGACTGACAATCAACTGATTATTCCAGCCCCAAAGCTGCACTGGAATAATGAACTGGCCCTAGTACAGTCCCAGCCCCAGGACCACATGGGAGTCTTGTACCAGCTTGGTGTATCCCAGGGCTGGGACCTACAATTGTCAGTCCCAGCCTGGGGACCGTGTGGGGGTCTGGAACCAGCTTTGTTGCATCCCTGGGGCTGGGACTTTTAATCAGCTTATTCTCAAATTTTAGTTTTCTGATATTGAAAATAACAGCCATTTATTTAAAAAAAAGTGAGGATTTGCAAAATTGCTTTTTGTCTTAGTCTTTAATTTGCTATAAATTAAATTTTCTAGTGAATTTTTAAAATAAATTGTAGGCCTTCAAATAAATGGCAAAAATATAAAATTCTACATGCTCTCAATGGTGATGCCCCTTTGCACAGACGGCAGTTTTTGATCTGCTGTTTTCATTCACTTTCAGGCACGCCTCAAGGGCTGCTTGTACAATATGTATGAATTAAAATGATCAGACCAAATGTCTGACAAAGAAATCTAGGTTCTTGAAATGTTGTCAAGTCATATTTTAGAAGCAGACACTTTTGAGTTTCTCTGAGCAAGGCAAGTTTCTCTAGAGTTTTTGTTTTTGTTGTTTACCTTCCACCCCAACCAGTCTCAGTGGAAGAAGTGGGGAAATTTATGCTTACCTGTTTGAGCAATGTCATATGCATTTTCATTCTGATAATATTGGCAAACCTGCTTACCTCTGCCGATTTGCTTGTCTCAAACTGTATTTGAAGCACAATATAAACTATTGAAGATGTGTTTGCAGTAGGACTGGGTAGAATCTGGAAGGCTGGTGGTGAACAGGGCATGAAATTGTGAGCCAGGAGACCTGGTTACCGTTATCATCTTGACTGCAAACTTAATTTGTGATCATAATAGGAAATGAGAGCACAGAGCACCATTCAGTGTAAGGATAGGAGAACTTTATTTTGTGAAGGTTTCTCAGTGTCTCCCACAAATTATGAATTGGATTTTTCTTTTAAAAAGTGGGATTGGCCCCTTTGTTTTTGTTAATATTTTAAAAATATTAAGGAAAGCCATCTGAGGGGAGGAAAAGCTTTTTACCAGTTTTTTTTTGTTTTTTTTTTTTTATCATAAGCAAAGGCCTTGCATGGTTTCAGTTGTGGAAACAATTTTTTTTTTTTTTTTTAGAAAATACTATTTTCAGTCTCATCCCCTTTGGCCAAAGTTATTATGTATCAGTATCCTTCCAAAGAAATATAGCACTGCTTCATATACAAAATGTACCATTAAACTGTAAATGTCATGCATGAGAGCACTGTAATGGCAAGAGAAAAGCCTTGACCTGCAAATATTTTAAGGTCCAATACTTCTCCCACTGAGGTCAATGGGGGCTGTAAAATTGATTTCAAAAGGAAACTGGAGCAAACCCTCTGTACTAAAGTTAAAAGCTTTAAGGGCTTGCTGCATGATCAGAAATGCACACCACTCTTCCATAACCAATTAGATTGAAAATGTAACATTGCTTAAAAATTCCTAAATTCCAATTATTATTATAATGAGGTTTAAAACAAATACCAGTATGGAATCTGACTTGATATTTTAGAAAAAGTATTATAGGCCTAGTCCTTGTAGGAAATGAGTAACTTTGAACTCCCACTAATAACAAAAGAATCTGTTTCAACAGACAAATTCCCAGATGCCCAACTGCAGAAGGGGAGCAGAATGAGTGGAGCACCCTTACCAATGTTAAGAATGCTTGATTGATTTATAAATAACTTTTGCTATAATGATATCTGAGAGTTTCCATTCTGGTGAGGAACGACGTGGAAAGACCAGTGTGTGGTGCGTTTACTGCAATATAGTAAAGTTAGGATTGAGTGTCTTGCTAAGAAATCAAACGCATTTTATTTATAGATATCTTTTTTAATTGGCTATCTACAATAAACTTAAAGAAAGATATAGGTCAGCTGATGCATACAGGAATCAGTATTCTCATGCATGTTTAAGTAAATCTAATTTATGTACGTGTATATTGTTATATATTAAAGAAACCTATAATATTGTTATAAGTTGTTTGATACATTGGCTGTTAATGTAGTGTTGTTATGCACAGAGACAAAAGTATGCTTTGGTGCAGCATAAATATGTAAAATATGTGGTGTTTGTAGTGTGATCATAGACATGTTTATTTTTGTGAGCCATAATTGCATTGTGATTTATATTTTGTTAAAATATATTACAACGTCCTTAAGGAGTGTTAGCACAAAATAATGGGTCGAGTTTTTAATCAACATGCATGTTAAAAATTGTCTCTAAGATTCTATGTATGCTTAAAAAAATGCATGTTTGTTAGATATGCAAAATTAATTTGAAATAGGTCTTTTAATTACTAAGTGGAATTTATAAATTAGGCTTGTTTTCTTTATAACAGCTCTTGAGGTCCATCACTCCTTGATGTCTTGCTTAGATGGATGCCTAAAAAATTCTTTGAATTTGCAGCAGATTTGGAAGGAATCTTTGTTTACACCTAGGACAAAGTGATATCACTACCACAGAAAAAACCATTCTAATAGTATTTTTGCAATTTCTCTTCTGTTTGGATTTGAAAATGAAAATATGGGCACTTTGAATAGGCACGAGTGAACTGAATCATATGGAATTAAAACTAGACTGAACATTTGACCTTACTGAATCAATTAAGATGTTACCCCTTTCATGTCATTCGTTCTCCTTTTTACTCTAAACAGTATTCTGTTCTATTGCTTCTCAGTAGTCTCCATTTTAACTGCCATAGATGGCTAATCATCATCTTTATCAAGACATGGCAATGGGTTATTGGGTTATTGGACATGCAGTATATTTTAACCCATGAGCTTACCGTATATTTAGCTGGAACTGATACTTGTACATGACTTAACATTTCCTATAAAATAAGATTTATCTTTTTTTTTTCAGCTTTTGGATAAAATCTCAATAGTGCTACAGCTTGAAACTAGACAAATATATGCTTTAATGTGTATTCTTATTATGTGTCTCTTGTGTGGTGGTGTTTTTGTTCTAGTTTAAACACCTTCCATTTTGCTGAATCATACTTTTTCAGTTAAGAAAACAGCTTAATTTTATCTCTTTAAGAAATGCTGTTTAGTATGCAATGTGCATCAGGTGGTTGTTCTAGTAAGGCAACAAGTTGCATATTCCATTTATTTGATATTTTTCATTCTATGCATTTGAATGGAGGGTGGGTAGAGGGAGAGAAGGGACACCGTTTCATGTCTGTTTCAACAAAAGGAATTTGATACTCATCATAAATGTAACAAAAGTTTCCAGTGATAAATGGGAAATGTAGTTATTGAATTACAGAAATGCATTCTTGGTATAGCAAAATCACTGGATTTTTATCATCAAGCAGTGGAAATAACCCAAATGTTATTTAAAAAGAACAGGCTCTGTGAACTATGAAGGTTTTATATCTTTTCACATTCAATCTTAAATGTGAATGTCACTACTGACTTGTGCCTATCATGTTTCCTCCCTTTTTTTAAGTACATAAACCTGCCCCCTAACTTCACAGACATGAATCATTATCACAGGTCAAAATTCAAGACAGAGAAATCTGCATTAATGTGATGCTTTGGGAAAGCATTTAATTTCTTCCATTGTAGCATTAATCAATAATAAGTAGCTGAACCATGAACTTTTGAAGTCAGATTCTGAGCAGTGCAGTCATTGTATACTCTAGAGAACATAACTGTAACTGGAAGTATTGAACATTAATGAATGCATCATTCCCTATTCCTACTGAAAGTCTATTAAACAAGCTCACAGGCTTGTTAGTAATCAGTGTGCAATCTGTTATCACACTGTATAAAAACATTAATGACCTCCTTTTGTCAATTCAACCTTGTATAATTCTGGTTAAAGTGGGTTCTTGGTAAATTATAGTTTTCTAAGGGGAAAAATAAATATGATTAGGTTCATGAAATTAAAGTCATTATCCACATTTGAAAATATCCCCTAAGTGTGTCTGGAATTCATATTTGAAAATAGGGTGTAGGTATTCACTGAATTTCTTTATAAAACAGGTACAATGTTTGGATATATAAAACTAGAG